GGTCTCCTGAGAAGAAATGCAAGTGCCACAAGACCTTTCTAATTGCTTTTCTTTGGCTGACTTTAACTAATGCTGTGGGCATTTGCCCTCACCATGGGAGTTTGGCCTTCATTGCCCTTTGCTCAGACACAGATATTTCAGCAGAGAGCATGTATATATATATATATGCATATATATATGTATAGCAAGTATATATATATATATATATATATAGCATGCATATATATATGTATATATAGCAAGTAGCAATGTGAAGAAAACACTGAATAAATATTTTACATACATGGTGTAGAATTCTCAGCATAACAATCCAAATCTAAAGAGACAGTCTCTGTACATCTTTTTTTGTTTAAAATCTCAGTACAAGACAAGAAATAAAGTGCTATACATTATGCTTTTCAGGACTTTTTTGCATGCACTCAGCTCTATCCTTTCAACAGCCTTTTATACCCTAGTGGATTTGCCTCAGTGTCATCTTGTTCTCTGCCTCAACTCCTTCACTCCCTGTGCTTTAAGCCACAGTGTCCCACAAATCTACTGCACTTCAAGGTTGGTGAGAGGCCTGACTATGGAGATAGAAATAGGTAGGAGAGAGAATTTCAAATCAGGTCACCTAAGAAAAACAGCAGTGTTTTTTGCTAGAGTGGTTAATAGCACTAATTAATTTTGTTTAAATCTTAACTTTTAAAAATTACTTTCAAAAAAATCCCTAAGTTACTCTTTTCCAAAAAGTGTATATTAAAAATAGAACATTTTTGGGGGTCAAATTATCAATGCCAAACAAAGCGCTCCTGGATGAATTCTTTTCCAGGAGCAAAGGAATTAAGATGCTCCTTCATTAAAGCTATCTTAATGCTGACCATTACTTTCTTTGGTGGAGGTGCTCGTTCTACTGGTGGGCATTTTGCGTCAGAAGGCCCTGCATTAAAATCTGGTTACAAAAAAACCTATTTCTTTATCACATCCCCAGAACTGAGACCGACTCACACCCACAAACAGCCACCAATTGCTCAAGTGGGGACAAACAGCGCCGCTTTATCTCCTGGTGTCAGGGAAAGGATTGGAGGGGGGGGTCACTTCTCTCAGAAACCTAACATTTGCACGGGGACTTTCTTGTGATGATGACTTTGAGTGAGCAACCACAGCTTGTAGGTCCTGGTCAGGCAAGGGCTTGGTATCTTAGGGAGTGTGAAGTATCCCAGCTGACCTGAGGTCACACACTTCACCCAGCAGCACCTGTGCTCATCCAGTAGGTCTCCAGGCCAGGCTTACTCTGTGCTCAGCACATTTTGCCATTTCTAATTAAGCCCAAAACAACTTTCAGCTTTGATGATCTTCCTCCTGCTTTTTGCTTCCCCCACAACTAATTTCAGACGTTCACATTCAGTGAGATACAGGAATAGAAGCGACTCATCTTGCAGTCACCCTCACTTAGGAAAGCTGAATATAAACATGTTCCTGAGCTACAGTTTACACCAAAAATCAGGACACTGGAAACAATTTAGCTCGGTTTGCTGGAGCTGGCTGTAAAGATCATAGCCAGTTCCTAAACTGACTCTGAAAAACAGCCTCCAGCTAATTCATGTCCCTTCCCATGCTGCCTGTGACCCAAGTTACCCCTCCTTAGCTTAGGGAGTGACTGTCACTCTTCCTGCTCCACCAGAAGCATCCTGATCTGGCCTTACCTAATTTGACCTAATCTAGAGTAAACTACAGTACCTCAGCTGCACACATGGATGGGCTACTTCCAAATTAGAGTGTCACTGGTTTTTGTTGCACTATTTTTTAATCACATTTTGAATTTGTCTCTTCTCTGCGTATGTCCTCAACCAACCCCCTGAATTAACCCGCTGTTTCTCTGTCAATATAATTTATTAATCTCTTTTTTTTGTTTGTTTATGGAGGGAGTCTTAGTCTGTAGCTTAAATGTGTGGAACAGGGGCACATGCCAAGCAAAAAAGTAGCATCAGGGTACAGTGTCAATCCAACAGAGTCACTGCTTCTGGGAAATTTTCTGTTTCTAAATTATTCTGAGCTGGTTCAGTGAAGGGTTTCTTGTAAAAACATTGTGAAAAAATCCCCCTTTAGCCCCAAGGTTACAAGTTATTTTGTTAGACCAGATGACATGACAGCATGATTCTATCAGGACAAATCAAAGTTTACTGAGCAAATCTGTGTTCTATAACCTGATTTATTGGTGCCATCTGCCAACACCCAAGAACAGATGCTCTGTGGGACCTCAATAGTGTGCAATAATGACTGGGAGAAACCCACTGCAAATTACTGAATTTTAAAAGTTACCAAGTGTATCAGGAGAGATAACAAACATAATGAAAATGTTTAGGAGAATGCATCCCAGTGTTCATTTTTCAGTTCTTCTTCTCTGACAGAAGTACTTTAGAGCATCCTCATCTACATATGTGGGCATGCGATGTAAAAATAAACCAAGCACTCACGATTTCCTGTGATTTTGCTCCAATCCTTTTCTACTGTGTGCTTCAAAGAAAAGAGAGTACTTTGGTGTGAGCAGTTACAGTCACAACTTACCCAAAATCAGTGAATTCCTCACAATTGCAAGAATTCTTTTTACAATCATATTCAAGCAGGTCAGGTCTGCCACACTGCTAGCACTAATGTCTTTTTTTTTTTTTTTTAATGCCTTTCCCCTAATCTACAGCTACTTCCAAGCCCTGTGTACTCTGAGGGCATGCCAAGGTAGAAGCAAACGATTTGCAATTATTGCCACAGGCAACATTAATTTTGCATTCCCATCTCTTCAAAAACACAGGGGAGCAAAAAGAGATAACCGAAAGACGAGCAACTTGTCAGGGTGGAGATTGGAAACGTGCCTGGGATCAGAGCAGGCACTGCAGAGGGTGAGGGGGAGCAGCCCTGGCTCCTGCAGCCCCAGGGAACACTTGCAGAGGTGCAGGAGCAGCCCAGTCCCAAAGTTCTCATGGCTCACAATCCTGCCACTGCCTCCCACTACCCCCTGCCAAACTAAACATCCAGCTCTTAGGAACTCCATTAAAATTAGGAACCAAAACTGTAGTGATAGGAGGACACTTTGCCTTCTCTCCCAGCATGCACTATTCTACAGCCCTCTCTGTCCATACCTAGGGTGTTACATGGAATTCTGTTAAACACACTCAGGAACAGGTTTTTGATGGACACAATCTATCCAATATCTGGCAAAGTCATAAAATCAGGGAACAACAACTTTCAGCGGCTGTCACTCTTTCAGAGGCTGAAGTTGTATCCAGCGGTGGAGAGTGGAAAGTCTCCTTCCCTTATTACACCAGTCCATTAAAATCACACACTCACAGAAATTCTCCATGGAAAAACTAAGACTGAACTATTAATAAAATCTTCCTGAACTATTAATATGCTATGTGGGAGCTTTAATGCACTACAGGGACTGATTATGTAAGAGTACAGGCACGAAGAAACTGTTTTTATCCTCAGTATACACTACCTTTTTGCTTTAAACAATTTTGTTTATGACTGATATCTTCCTAAATCTGAGGGAAATTATTTTCTTTCAAGGGGGATTATATTTGGATTTGCAGTAAACTGGCAAGTATAGTTGAGATTGCAGTTCCGTGGGATGGCAAAGTGTGTGCTTTCTATTTGCAAAGCGTAAAGGTAATGAAAGCACTTTAAAAATGCTTATTTCTCAAAATTCAGATGTTCTGTAACCTAGAAATATACTATAATATGGATATTGAGCTCAGGTCTTTGGTCTATGATGCCAATTCTTGCAGTTTTAAAGGAACGATCTTGAGCATCAGGTTGAATTTATTAGGTTTTGTATTCCAAACATTGTTTTGCTTTCCTGACACACTTTGTTGTGAGGAGATGCTGGAAGACTATGATGATTTTTAGCTTTCAGGCAGTCCAGAACACTGTAGTAAAAGGTTTCTTATGCAAAGTCATGCCAAAAGGAATAGATGTTGTGCTGGCAAGAACAGGCAGAAATAAAGAAAAATTGTTTCTCAGTCACCTCATAGATATCCCTCCTGAGCTGTTTAATGAAACATTATTTAACAGAAGTTTTCACTCCCAGACTCATTTCACCTCAGAAATTTTCCTGCACAGGAGGTCTGAGCAGAGAAGGAAAACACTGATCTCTGCAAAATTTTGCTCTGTCCTGCAAGGTTGGAGATACTTCTCCAGTTTGAAATAAAAGATTTATTGAGGCCTGTATGGGTTTAGGATGTCTTTGGCAGCTCCACTGTGGCACTCAAGTGTTCATTTCTTTCTCTTCTTTGGGGATGATAAGGGGGACAGTAACTGAAAACAGTAAAGAAACAAATATATAAAGTAAAACAAAGACAAATTAGGCAAAAGAAGAGTCCCATCAATGACCCTGGTTTCATTCAATCAACTCAAATCCTGTGTTTGGACAATTTTCTCTCTCTTGGCTTGCCTACACTGCTCCAGGAAGGTACCACTGCAGCACGGCTAGATATATTCCTTGTTTTAGCTCACTTCAGGTCCCAATGAAAAAGGCCTGGTTCGACTCTGGAGTGAGCCAGCTGCCCAAGAAAATATCTGCAGTCCTTTCACTAAAGTATGAATTGAATGAGTGGACAGTGAAGTGGACTGAGAAATGGCTGAAGGGCAGATCCCAGAGGGTCATAATCAGTGGCAGAGGATCAAGTTGAAAGCCTGTCACTAGTGATGTCCTCCAAGGCTCAGTTTAACTTCTTCATCAATGACTTGGATGAAGGGGCAGATGTCTCCTCAGCAAGCGTGCTGATGACACAAAGCTGGGAGGAGTGCCTGATACCCCAGAGTGCTGTGCAGCCCTTCAGAAGGATCTCAACAGGTTGGAATGATGGGCAGAGAGGAACAGTCTGAAATTCAACAAAGGTAATTACAGAGTCCTGCTTCTGAGGAAGAATAACCCCAGGCATCAATACTGGCTGGGGAATTACCTGCTGTAAAGCAGCCCTCCAGAGAAGAACCTCAAGGTCCTGGTGGACAGCAAGCTATCCATGAGCCAGCAGTATGCACTTGTGGCCAAAAGTATCCAGGGTTACATTAGGAGGACCATTGCCAGCAGGTTGAGGGAGGTGATCCTGCCCTTACCAGCTCTGGTGAGGCTGCATCTGAAGTGCTGTGTCTAGTTCTGGGGTCTGTCAGTATAAGAGAAACATGGGGCTCCTGGAGTGGGTCCAGTGGAGAGCTACAAATATGATTAAGGGACTGGAACATCCCTCTAGCATCTTATTCCTTAAAGAAAGGCTGAGGGAGCTGTGCCTGTTTAGCCTCAAGAAGAGATGACCTCATCAATTTATGTAAGTATCTGAAGGGAAGGTGTCAAGAGGATGGAGTCAGCTCTCCAAATGAGGCAATGGGCAGAAACTGATGTACAGCAAGTTCCTCCTGAATTTGAAGAACTTCTTTACTGTGCAAGTGACCTCACACTGGAACAGGTTGCCCTGAGAGGTTGTGGAGTCTCCCTCACTGGAGATATTCAAGAACTGTTCAGATGCAATTCTGTGCCATGTGCTCTGGGATGACCTTGCTTGAGCAGGGAGTTTGGACTGGATGACCCACTGTGGTCCCTTCCAACCTGACCCATTCCATGATTCCCCGCTATTGCTGAGAAGCAAGTTAGCTAGATTAGCACTGGGTTGGATGTGTTTATTCACACTGCAATTTCACCACTGAGCAACATGATAATATGTCCAGCCTGGTTTTCAGATAAGAAGACGGTAGTGCCCAAAAATAATTAGACCAACTCATATGTGCTATATTTCATTTACACCATCGAAATAAAATGTAAATATATCCTCAGAACTGAGTATTTTTGTCAAGGAATCAGGTTAAGAAAAAGCTCCATGATCCCATGGTCCATTTCACAGCAGACTCCAAAAAATATACCTCATTATAAAATACACCTTCCCAAGGAATCACAAGTCATGAGAAATCAAAAGAGAATTCCTAAAAGCAAAAGCTCTCCAGCAGAAAATCAATTTCAGCTACTTTCACCTTGCCCCAGGGAAAGCAGCAGAGACACTAAGTGGGGTGTGGGAAATGTCTCGTACATCTTCCTGGAGCTGCGCAAGGCAGACCTCCAGACAGGAGCTTTTCTTTCCAAGACAGCTCTGCTCTAATTAGGGACTCCTGCAAATAGTGTGTTGCAGTTCCAGATAGTGTCTGGATGATTCCCATATCAAATTTCTTTGCTTTAAAAAAAAATAATGGTCTTTGTCCTTGTTCTAATTGACAGCCTTACAAATGCAGGTGGACTGAGGGATGAAGGTCAAATTGAGCTTATTGTGCTTAATAGGGCAAGGAAAAAAAAATTAGCAGAAACTTACACACAGAAAGAAATGTTCTTTGGTGTTTGTTATTTTTCCTGACCACCATGTTTCCTTTTCAAGGGTCTTTGTGCATTTTTGGATGTACCTTCAGAATGAAAAGAAAGCAATTACCTTTAAATAAAATTGTTATATGATGGGCTTTCCTGTAACGCTTAATCTACAAATGTATCAGACAGAATCTAGTTTATAGACTCAACAATCTAGGTTGGGTGGACATAAAATTAATTTTCTACATAGGAAAATACATCCTACTCCTTAGTCGACCTTTTCCAGAGGCAGACTACCAATTTAAACCTCTGGCTGATTCCTATAGTTCTCAGTATTTAGACCTTTCTGGGTAACATGGTATTGTTAAGGCTGGTTAACATGTTCTAAAAAGAATCACATTCTCCCTTGGAAATGAAGTCCAAATGACATTTCTCACTGCAGGTTATGATTAATATCATTTGTGCATTCCAGTGAGAAGGCAAAACAATTTTTCTTTTTCAGATCAGTATAAATCTCTGTGTCTTAAAGTTGTTCCCTTGCTTCCCATCCCTCATTTACTGTCTTGTGCTTCAGACTCAGACTGTGTCTCCTACACTGACCTGTGCTGCTACAGTACAGACCAGGAACAGCTATGACAATTTACTCTCAAAGAGCAAAGGTGTCCAGGACTTCTTCCTTAGAGATACAACTTGTGAGATGGCAGCCAGCTTGACAGATATAGAATTAATAAGAAACAAATAAATAAATAGATAAATAAATAGAAGAGATCAGTGTCTATGCCTCTTCTCCCCTCATGAGGAAGTTGTAGACTGCAATAAGGTTTCCCTGTCTCCTCTTCTACAGGCTGAACAAACCAAGTGCCCTCAGCCATGCCTCATATGGCTTCCACTCAAGGTCCTTCACCATCTTCATTGCCCTCCTTTGGACACTCTCTAATAGCTTATTGTCTTTTTTATATAATGGCACCTAAAACTGCACACAATATTCAGGTTGAGGCCGCACTAGTGCAGAGCAGAGCGGGACAATCCCCTCCCTCAACTGGCTGGCAATGCTTTACCTGATGCCCTTCAGGATATGGTTGGTTCTCCTGGCTGCTGGGGCACTGCTGACCCATATTCAACTTGCCATCAACCAGGACTCCCAGGTCCCTTTCCAACATCTCATTCCCCAGTCTGTACCTACCTCCAGGGTTGCCCCATCCCAGGGGCAGAATTTGGCACTTCCCCTTGTTGAACATCATATGATTGGTGATTGCCCAGACCTCTAATTTGTCAAGGTCTCTACACCTTCCTGCCTTTGACAGAGTCAACAGCTTCTCCCAGTTTTGTGTCATCTGCAAACTTGCTTAATATCCCTTCCAGTCCTGTGTCCAAGTCATTTATGGAGATGTTGAAGAGCATAGCGCCTATGATGGAACCCTGCAGAACCCCACTAGTGACAGTCTGATATTACCCCATTCATTGTTACCCTCTGTTCTTGATCCATATGTTCACCCACTGCATGATGTGTTTATCCAGCTCTGTACTGGACATTTTGTCCAGAAAGATCTTGTGAGGGACTGTATCGAAAGCTTTACTGAAGTCCAAAACGTTACATCAGCTGGCTTCCCTTGATCAACTGGGCAGGTTAGCCTTTCATAAAAGGAAATCAGGTTTAACAAGCAGGACTTTCCCCTCATGAAGCCATGCTGGTTGTGACCAGTGACTGCGTTGTCTTTTCAGATGTTTTTCAATACTCCCCAGAATAATCTTCTCCATAAGTTTCCCAGGCATTGAAGTGAGACTGACAGGCCTGTAGTTTCCGGAGGCCTCTTTCTTGTGCTTCTTGAAAAGCAGGACAACATTCACCAGCTTCCAGTCATCTGGAACCTTTCTAGATTCCCAAGACTGCTCAAAAACCATTGAGAGAGGCTTTGCAATGACATCAGCCAGCTCTTGGAGGATTCTGAGATTAATCCTATCAGGCCTCATAGATTTGTAGGGATCCAGTTGTACTCAGTGATCCTTGTGGGTCCCTTCCAACTCAGCATATTCTTTGATTATGTGAGTCTGTGAAATAAACAAATAAATAAATAAAGGTAAACATGGAAAATTCCAGTTTAAGGTTTTTTTAGAATAAACTGTGGAAAGTTTCAAATCTTAAAATTTTCATTCCCATGTGAGAGAAAGGCAACTAAATATGTGAATTTTGCATGAGATGGCCATTTTATGGCTCTGGTCTGCTCTAAAACACCATTTTACTTTATCACATAGTAGAAAGTCACTTTGGGCTTCACTTTGGGCTTCACTTCATACTTCTGACAGCCCACGTTTTTCCTAGGTGGGCTCAGACACTCTGCAACTGTTTCTTGGCTCAGCCCAGTTGAAGTCATTGCAACATGCAGCACTGCAGTAATTTATCTCAGTCAGAACTGCATCCCTAAACTCTAATGAATATTCCAGCTGCAGTGGAAATATATAATCATCTTTACTGAAAATAAACACCTCAACAGAATATCTTTTAAAAGAATCATAGAATCATAAAATAAAGTCATAGAAGGGCTTGGGCTGGAAACAAGCTTAAAGATTATCTACTTCCAATCGTGGTCACTGGCAGGGATGCCATTCATTAAATCGGGTTGCTCAGGACCCTATCAAACCTGGCCTTGAACACTTTCAGGGGTGGGGCATCCACAGTTTCTCTGGACAACCTGTTCCATTGCTTTACTACCCCCCAAGAAAAGAATTTCTTCCTAACATCTAATCTAAACCTGTTCTCTTAACCTCTCTTTCCCCAACTCTCTCAGCCTGTCTTTGTAGGAGGGGTGCTCTGATCATCTTTGTGGTTCTTCTCTGGACTTGCTCTAGCAGGTTCACACCATTCTTATGCCGACGACCCTGGACTAGGTGTGGTCTTAAAAGCTCAGTTCATAGTTAACTAGAATTTAAAATGGGATCACCTGTGATGTTGCACTGCTTGTCTTCCTTCAGGCTGGCCTGATTACCCAATAGTCTTTCACAGAGCATCCAGTACTGAGACTTGTAATGCATTTGGGTCAACTGACCTGAGTTGGAAGCAGCTGTATAGCTGTATAGCTGTATAGCAAAATACTGTATAGCAAAAGAAAAAGGTATCACTTAATGCCTGTGGCTGCTCACAAATGTTACCTGAGCATGGTTTAGGGTGAGTGCCATGACAATCCATGGCCAGTGCTAAAAAGCATGGAGAGTCCTGCTGATCTGTGCTGCTTGGCAGGAGGTGATGGATGCATACATAAGCTAAATCTTAGGAAAAAATTGACCTTGAAGCAGCGCAGAAGCTCTATCAAGCAGGTGTATAAGGGGATTTTTCATATCATCTCACAAATCCACCCTGTATTCTCACCAGCTGTGCTCAATCTCTGATGCTCCAGAGGAAAGCAAGAGAAAACCCCAGGACACCCTGTGCTAATTGTGGGGGGAAGGAACCTGCCTGAGTCCCAGAGCCAAAGCCCTGAAGGAAGAGACCTGATTATGCTCTGCTTCACATGCTGAGCTGTAGGGGTTAGGAGCACACACAGGATGAGGACAGCTTCATCAGAATCTCCCTTCACAGCAGAGAGACTGGCCTCTCTCCTCTTCCTGGAAGAGTATTTGCGCACAGGAACAGCAGTTATCCCATTATTTATGCAATGCAAAAGAATTCCAGGGTCTTCCCTGACTGACATTTGTTAGATAAGATCGTAGGTACAGAACACCCTTCACAATATACAATAACCTTTAAAGACATGGCAGCAACCTCCTATTAAGCGTGCCAGGGTGGCAGAGCTGGGTAGGATGCTATAGGGAACACCTCGGCAGCAGGACGCTACCTGCATGCTAATGCCGAGAGTGTTTGAGCTCTGTCTGGCAGCGAGAGAGAGCGGGGCTCCAGCAGTTTCCATGGCGCTGTCATGGTGTGCTCTCCCTTCACCTTCACTCATCAGCATTTCCCACCCATCCTCCTCCCTGTAATAAGCTGCTTGCTCACCCCGAAAGGTCAGCCATTGTAATGATGATTTTAGCAGGGGGAGGCAGGGAGGCCGAAGGGTGAAAAGGTGAGCGCTGAGCAGCGATGTGCGTGGGAACCGGGGGCTTGCCTTGCGCTGCACAATGAGAAATTAGAAAGCTTCCCCTCGAGGAAGCAGTGCTTATCAACCCCCTCTCACTTCCCAGGCCGGCCCAGTCAGTGCCCTGACGGAGTTAAAAAATGTTATGCAAAGTGGCTAGAGACCCGACTTTAAATCATCGGCATCTCATCGACAATTGATGCACCAGTGTGTAGAGGGGCGAAGGGACTGCCTCTGCCAGCAGAGGAAACTGATACAAACGTTTCCAGGTGTCTGTTTTTGGTTTTGTTGTTTTTTCTTTTTCTTTCTATTTTTCTTTTGCCCCCTCCCAGCAAGCCCAGTGCTCGTTTGCAGATGGAAAGAGGCAGGTTCTTAATCTGACTTTCATCTTATTGATGGCCAGAGTAAAACACTGTGTCTCTTAACTGCTTTTCTTTCTTTCTATAGGACAGCTTTCCTGCACGTTTTGGAGGAGTCCATTTTGTCAATCAGCCGTGGTACATCCATGCCCTGTACACGCTAATCAAACCGTTTCTCAAAGACAAGACAAGGAAAAGGGTAATTAGATGGGGGTTGGGTGATGGAGGGTGGATAGGAAGCTGCAGACCCGGGGAGTAACCGAGTAGCCTGCTCTCTTCTTTTTCTCTCTGCATTTTACATATGTCCTCAGAGAACTGCTGCTGTTTTTAAATCTTAGGGGTTTTGTATGGTCTGGAATAAATCAATAATTTTGAAAAGTACCAGAAATCTGTTGTCACTAACAAAGTGTGGATACATTTTAGTGGGACGTGCCCGGGAATAGAGAGAATCACCAATGTGGAGGGATTATCAGGCCTGGCTGAAGTTACTTGCAAGTGAAGGAAACTTCAGCTCAACTCTTTTTGATGGAGTAAAAATTCCCATCTCATTCCTTCAGGAACTTGACTATTTTCACATGGTGATAACTCACTTGTTTCCACAAAAAAATGCCCATGCCTGAAGGCTGTTTTCTGACACTGCAGAGGAGGCAGATATTCTCCACTGAAACCCATGTGAATTGTACTCTGGCAGTCATCTCAGCCATTTGTTCTCTGCAGTCTATCAGCCAATGACCAGATCATCTCTCAGGAGGCCCCAGAGCCCACCCTGAGTTGAGTCTGACTAGGCAGGACAAGGCTAGAACCAGCCTGAAAGCAAAGAGGGATTAGAGAGATAGATGGTGCTGAAGCAGCACCAAGTGGCAACATAGCCTGGTACACCCCCGGGAAATGTCAGTCCTGGAGTGCAGGGCTGGTTGCCCTCTCAGATGCTGAAGACCTACTCTTCACATCTACTTTCAGTAAGCTCTGCTGTCACCCTTTTCACTGCTCTCTATACAATCCTCTGTCCTCTTACAGTAGCAATAATCAGTCATATTTCCTGACTTCCACTTCTCCTGATCTGGCACTTCAGAAATTAAAAGTGTCATATGCTAAATGCGAGGGAATCGGAGTTTTCAAAAGTGTTTATAGTGCTAGGCTAACTCTTCAGCTGCCCACCACAGAGCTAAAACCCGATTTCCTGTCCACCCTTCCACCATCCACTGAGCCAAAAACCTGAGGGTTTTACAAGTTCCCACCTGAAACTGCAGTGTCGACTAATGACACTCCACACCTCATTAGTGCTGCTATTATTGTGCTTAATGAAGTAAGGAATCGATGATGACTTTGAGCTTTTTTTTTATTTTATTTTATTTGTTAAAGATCTTTCTTCATGGTAACAACCTGAACAGCCTTCACCAGCTAATACACCCCGAATGCCTGCCCTCTGAATTCGGGGGGACTCTTCCTCCCTACGACATGGGCACATGGGCTCGAACGCTGCTTGGTCCCGACTACAGCGACGAAAACGAGTACACCCACACCTCCTACAACGCCATGCACGTGAAGCACGCGTCCTCCAACCTGGAGCGGGAGGCCTCGCCCAAACCCATGAAAAGGTATAGTGCTGCCTTTGAAATCACCTCTTCTTTGGCTCTCTGAACAGGTTTGGCATAAATCTCACAGGATGAGCTTATCTGCCTCAAAGAGAAGGTGTGATTTGGCAAATGCTGATGGTAAGGAGCACTTCACCCTGGACTGTGCTCACGGCGTGGTGGGGGAAAGGAAGCCTCTCGGTGGAACAGTAATTACTTGTCTGATTACTGAGCATGAAAATAAGGGGAAATTAATGAGCCCCTGCACAGAGCACCACAGAAAGTATATCAGAGTGAGATGCTGTTCTGTACAGTGCAGAGCAACCAGCAGCACTGCTTCAGTGCTGATCCCTATTACTTGCCTCTGGTTTACTGCTGCTGACCCGGTTGTTATCGGTAAGGGATTTACCTCCTTAGAAACGTGGCTGTTGTACGATGAACACCACTGCCCTCTAAAGGGGAAAGGGGCTGGTGTTCTCCCTCTGCTTCTGCTCCCGTTGGCTTCTTCAAGCCCTGCAAAGGCAGCTGCAGAGCTGTTCTTTTAAGAGCTCTGATTTTAGTTCGAGTGATTGTGCATTTAGCTCTGAATGCTCAAAATAACACCTCTGGAGAGTATCACACTCAGCAAATTTGGACTGATTCCGGGGATGCAGTCAGCAAGTTGGATACCTGGTGCAGGGCTGTGGGTAGTATGGTTTAGCCAACACCAGCTGCAGTGAGTGGTGGCCAGGTCGGCTCCCCTGTGTGAGGGTAACATCTGCGCTCGCCTCACCCTTGGCATCCCACTCCGTGAAACTGCTTTCCATGGAGATGACAGTGATGCTTTCCTCGCTGCTGCCACTTGATGAGTGCAGTGCTCACAGGCACGGCATCACTCTGACAGGGAGCGGCCATCATTTTGTCACAGCAAAATCAAAGCTGACAACACAGACAAACCATAATGTCATGCAATTAATTTTAAAAGTCTTTCATCTTCAGAGGAAAAAGAAATGCATTCTCGATTCACAGCTCCTTCCCAGGTCAGAGGGATGCCACACAGCTGTGCCTGCAAAGTGAGGCCTCGTGCAGGAAACACAAACACTTAGACCGACATCAAGGGTTCACAGGGCTGCAAGACTGAGGGGCTATGAACTGCAGCCATTGCATTGTCAATTGCACTGTCAGCAATTTTTACTACTGACTGGCAGCCAAGACTGGGAGCTGGGTTAAGTTTACAGACCCTGTCCCAGAGAGCTGATTAATACTGACTAGATATTTCATTGTTATTAAAACACATCTCGAGAGTATACATTTTATGTAGCTTTATAGAAAGAAATCCATAGGTTTTTTAAGCTCCAAAATGTTAAGGACTGCTCACAGGTAAATCTTTGCTGAGTATCGGATCCTTGACTGCAAAGAAGGGAGGGTCTTATCATGCCCTTGGGAAGAACCTTGGCTTGAAAATTAGTTCAGTGCCAGAAAACCCTGCCTTGAGGCAAAGCCTTCTTTTATAATCTGTTCACTAATACAAAAGTGCATTAATACAAATATGGGGAGTGGATGAATCTAATTTGTCATGTTGCCTGTGGGCAGACTAGATCTAACTTTTAGCCTAATTTTGTTACTTCGTGGTTAAGTCAACCATCTGATCTTTCACCCTGTGGTCATTACTTGCTGTTAGAGGTGAAAAGTTCATGGCTTCAACAGATTTTGCCCTCTGAGTATTTGCTTTGATTTTTCTTCTCCTGAAATTATGGTTTGGCCTAAGCATAGGTAAAAGCCTATGCTCAGAAAACATGATTGTGTGCTTTATTAGATTTGTTAGGCCAGATTTATATCTAAGGCATCTTAAAAGGTCTCCAGACTTCGACTAGCATTACCTCTCTTTATATATCTCCCCTCCTTGCCTCTTTAGGTTTGTATATCTTTAAGACAATGAGAAACTCAGGCTATGGCTGAGATTCCTGGTTACTCCAAAGAGTTTTACACTAGACATAGGTGACCTCCTAACATTATTCTTCATCTTAAATATAATTCCCTCACAATTGTCCTATCACTTCTCCTCTTATTAAAGCAATTTTGTAGTTTCATTGAAAATCTCTCCTCTACGCCTCCACTCACAGCATACATTTTTAGGTAACATGTTAATTTTGTGTTTGTCTGGAGAAATGTTGGGTTTAACCAAAAAAAAAGGTCAAGGCCACTGACTTTTTCTTTAGCAAATTATATTCCTCTGAAAGGGGTAAATATATAAAACCTGAATGTTCTTGGGTTCCTGCAATTTAGGGATGAAAAGCCTTGCTGAACAATTATGGGTCCTCTCTTCTCTGACTTCCCAGGTATCACTGCAGGTTTACCTGCACAGTAATCTGCTGCAGGGGAGAGCAGTGCTTATGGGAGGTGGATTTGCCCAGAAGTCTGGAGCTACAGTGGTTGTTCCCCTCTATGGCACTGTCCTGCTGCACTACATGGTGCAGAGTTGCAGCCCCTCCTGACTCTGTGGCCACCTGATGCAAAGCCACGCAAGCTCATCCTTGCTCGAGCTGCCACTGGACCAGTGCTGTATGAAAGCATTCTTAATCTTTGAGCTCAGTGCTGCTGTAGTAACTGTCTTGCAGTGTGACCACCCAGAAATGCCCCTGTGAAGTGCTGCCATCCTCTACAACTAGGGATTGTTGTCACCCTGGGCACAACCTGCTCCAAATACGACGTCCAGAAATTTTAGTAGCAGAGATCAGAGAAATCAAGTTATGATTTATATATCTTGAAGAAAAGTGACAGGGAATGGAACTGTTGTAGCTGCTTCATCTATGTTAGCAAATGAATGCAGAGGGGGAGAAAAAGGGCATTTTCAAGATGTATCTGAGACCAAACTGAAGTCAGAAAATTGAAATAAATCTCAAAATGCAGACCAGAAAAACACCACACCAAGCAGCAGTGGGAAGGGCTGAAGCTGGAGCAGGTACATGCCTGTATGTTGGGTTCAGGAATGGCAGCAGTGCTTTGGCTGCCATCATCAGGGCACCTCAGAGTTCACCTGAGAGTCGTGGGAGACAGGAGAGTGGAGAGCATACTCCTTCAGCCAGAAGCTATAGAAGACAGTGCTTTGTTCAGCTTCTCAGAGCAAAGGTTGAAATGGATTTGAAGGGAATAAAAACTGGGGAGACAGAATAGATATTTGAGGAAAAGGACAACTCAGGCATGGGATCAAGTAGGTATAAGCTGATCAAAGTATACCTTGGCTGCAAATTAGAGTTGGTTTGCTAGTCATCGGAGGACTGAAACAGCATGCCAGTATGACAATCTAACTGATACACAAGTGAAAGGTCTAATATGAACGGTCTAATATGAAGTGGCTACAGGAGATTAGACTTGCCTATCAAAGTCTCATTAGGTTCCAATTTCTGGGACCAGAATGCTATCTTCTTCCCATAGCAGGGGTGGTTTTTCCCTGAGACTTGAACTTGCTCAAGATTTGTTCTCAAAAAAGAGTCCTTGTTGATTTCAAAGAATGGAGGCATTGTTGATGAGGAAAAGATTGATAGTCCTCTTAGAAAAGACTGCCACTGACTCCAGTCACTGATACAATCTTGAAAATTTTGAGATTTGACAAGTGTCTATAATATGGAAAATCTTTAATCAAAACCATTGCGATTTTTCCACCAGTGGCCACATGAAGCCCCACTGGGGCAAAATCAAACCAGTGGAAATTGCACTCCCATCTGCAGGGTTATCTCAGAACCCAAGTACTGTATGAACAGATGGGAAACAAAGCAAAACAGCTGATGACTCCACATAATGAGTGTTAATGGCCAGGGGGAGGGGGAGGAAGCAACAACAACAAAAATCCATTCAGAATATACGTTTATTAAGATTCAGCTCAGTGAAGTCTGAAATGGGCAAGGTAGTAAACGTGCAAACCAGCATTGATACGGTAATAGCAAAGTTTGTTTAATCCAAGAGCTTGGTCACATCCATTCAACAGTCCTGGGAGCAGCAATGGCAACAGACCCTTCCCCTGTCTTGGGCCATCTCTTCTGAAGGGTCTGCATCCACACAGGGAGCCTGTCACTTATGATCTTTGAGATTTGAGAGCAGTGTAAATGGTGTAGCAGTTTGGAGTACACGGAAGAAAATCACCTCCCTTTCAGCTGTGGCCAAATATCCTGTGATCCCTGATGGTCAGAAAGGGGCCTTGGGTTGCCTTAGTCAACAGGGAGCTCACACAAAAGCAAAGCATTTGCCTGAGGCGCTCATGCTGGGTTTTGTTGATGAGCTGTTGTTTTTAGGAACAGCTGGAGGTTTTATCTGGGTGTGCAGTTTAATGAATAGCTATGGTGGGTGGTTAAGCCTAGCAGTTAAAGAGTCAGGGACTGCTCTCCACATATCACTGTGCCAATAGGGCATAGTTTTTTGGCCAGCCACAGTGGGAGGAGTGTAGTATTTTGAGTTATTTGAGTGCCTAACAGCAGTGGGTGAGCATCCCTAGTTGGAGAGATGGATTCAGTGACTGGGGAAGATGTGAAAGAGCTCAGTTCTTTGAAGAGTTTCCTTTTTCCCCCAGTGTCACCCTTGCTCTTTATGCTCAAGTCCAGCAGCAAAAAGTAAATTGCAGCAGCATGTTACCTCCCTGTCTCTTGCTTCTGCAGCTGCATCTGGGTCACTTCTTGATGTCTGAACTGGGTCTTCAGTCCAAGAGACAAAGAGTGTTCTCTGCCTTTGCTTGTTCTCTGTGCAGGCACTGAGCACAGCCTGTGAACTGAATGTTCTTTCTCCGCCCTCCCATGCATCAAAAAAGTGCTTGCTTTTAGCTTGCTACTGGTGCAAACAGGCCTGAAAACCTACTGCAATTTAAAATTGCCCTGCAGAGAAAGGAAATTTTACCTAACAACTACATATTTTTTCTGGCCAAACATCTGTACTGTTTAATGAAATGTATTAAACAAAGTTTAATTAATTATAACTTTAATCAAATTTAGGGTTAAAAATTGTTCTTAGGATACTGGGGGTTGCAAAAACATTGCTATCACTGAGTCAACCTTACT